TACACCTTTTGAAAATTTTCCACATCTAATTCACCTACCAGCTTTAAGTTCACATCAGTATTCCAGGATAAATTACTGTCTTCATTTATTTGATGAAACGTTCACGTTCGATGATCTAAAATATTAGCCTTTTTCTACTAATGCCAGTATCAGAAAATGCAGTAGCCAAAATAAGCTGATACAGCACGTCCATGGCATTTCTTCATAACACAATTTTAGTTTTTGTCTATCACGTAACTAGTCACATAACTTGCAAAAGTTTTTTATTCATTCGTGGACAAAAGACAAATGGCACAATTGTCACATGACAACCATAATTGAAATTGCTTTGAAATAAAAACGACAATATTTAAAAAATTAAGCCTTTGTCAGAATGTGTATAAAATAAAAACACTATTTAAAAATCGTTTACTGATCTAATTCCAACTGATACAGTATGTCACATGTCATTGGAATTCGGCATTGGAGATTCTATCAGGAAACTATATTAATGACTGTTTCTCTGTGTATTCGGTGTTCTATCAATGGATTATATTCAATGAACATTTAAATTTTTCTAAAAATTGGTCAGTGAATCAATCAATGTATGATCCAGTTATTATTTTAATATCTACTGGTACCTGGAATTCATACGGAGTGTGGAAGATGCTTGATTGCCACGTGGGTCATTTTTACTAAAGCAGCTTACTGAACCTGTTATGAATAATCAGCAATTTTGTTTTTTTTACCGGATCATGGCTCGAAATGTTTGCCTGTCTACCTGTTGCCGACAGGCGATTTTTTCGTCTGACAGGTAGCAAATAAAACTACCTGTCGCTTGCGACAGGTGAGCTAAATTTTACTTGATGTTCAGTAAATTGACCACAATACTCACAGTTCCATACAAATCAGATTATAATTTTTGAAGTTTGAGGGTTCACAAGGTTCTATAAACTGAAACAAGGGTCTCAACTATGGAAGTAATCTACAGAAATTGTTGAAATTTGACAGGCTTTTTCGTTTTACTAATTTAAATAATGCATATAAATTTCATACAGATCAGATGATCACTTTTGTCATTCAAACGTTCACAACCGCCATAACGCAAGAATTTATTGACAGAAATTGCTGAAATTCAATAGACCTCTGTTTCACAAATTTAAATGATGCATATAAATTTCATACATATCGGATGATAACTTTCACCAATCGAGCATTAACAAGTTTGAACAAAGTGAAACAAGGGCCATAACTCTAGAAGTAGTTATTGCAAATTGCTGAAATTCAATAGGCTTTGTGTTTGAATGGCTTACTTTATTTATCTCCATTTAAATCACAGTAAGGGGTGATGGATGGATATTATGTATGATGAAAGGTGTGCTAACTATCTCCGGACAACCTGATTTCACTTCTTTTTTTAATTCATGGTTTAGGTGATTTAAACAGAGCAGGAAATAATATAGATTCTTTATGCATTGTTCTGTACACAAACAAACAATTAAAATCAGATAAATGACGGTCTTATTTTGATCAGGACTGAAATTAATCAGACCACCATGCAACCCTCATATGACCCACATGTATGTCTACAGCAATCTTTATCTGCTATTACTTACATGTACATGTACCATACATATACATGTAGGGCATGGTAAATAGGCTAATTCTTTATATTTTGGCATTTGATTTATAAGTATTTAAACAATCTAAATCAGGTTGCACTAATAACAATCTGGGACAGTCATAGAATACTTGAATCTGGCTGATTATTGATATTTAACAGATGGTCAAATTGTTTAACTATTCAATTAGATTTATATTTAAACCATATTGATCAGCTTATTATATAGGACCAGATTGTTAATTACTTGTTTATGGTAAGTAGTCTATAAAACCACACACATCCACAAATGTATAGTCAACTACGGTACCACTAGTCTTTAACCTGATTTTTCATTTCTTATCCAATTGATATTTTTTTTTTTTTTTTAAATCGGCCCACCTACATATTTTTTCTATTGTTGGATAAGCTACACAACAAACAGTAGTTAGTGCAGGAGGACTACACCATACACAACCATAAACACACATAAACTGGAAGCAATATACAATGTACATAACAAACTAGACTAATTGGTTAAGCTTAAGATGTCAGCCCACCTGTGTACTGAATGCAGATATTACAGGTAATGTTTTTTTTTTCTCTCAGTGTATTGCTGCAACCACGAGATCACAAATAAAACAGTTCATCTGATTCCACAGATTCTAATCATTCGGTATCAATACAAACATTGCTCAGAGGTAACTTTGATCGTTAACAACAACAAAAACATAGCCCTGGATGGACAGTTATGTTATTAGATATTATAATCTTCATATTGGAGACAGTCTTAAGTAATTAATGTTGTGTCTGTCTTCATGTTCATTTAACCAGAATATAAACAGTACAGGTTCTATGATCTAATATTTAAAGACATGAAAATAACTGTAATGCAATATGATTTAAAGCATTTTAAAGGATATAAATATTGGCAATGTAAGTACATACATGTAGCACTATCCATATTTAAACTGGACAATAATTACAATGTTACAATATTCTCATTTTTGTGTTAGCATATCAACTTTAGCAAATCAATTTTATAAACCAACATTGTCAGTTAAATAATTCAATTAGTATGCAAAATAACTAATTTATCAAAATATGGCCCTCTATTCTTTTTTAAACATTTTAAATTCAGATGGTCAGCAAACTCACAAAACTATACAGAAAATTAACAGTCAAATATTGTACTAATAAAAAAATACACACGTACCAGTAATTTAAACTAAAGTAACATTTGCGCGCACATACTACATGTACATGTAGTAAAGAAATGAAACGGGGATCTAAAATTTTACTTTTTAACACCAACTGGGCTAATGAAGATGGGAAGTAAACAAAATGATCTATATATAGGGAACTAAGAATATACAATATAAAATTAATTATATATGCACACCCATGAAAAAGGTTTAACTGACTTCATGTTTCATCTAACATGATGTGAAATACATGTATCATAACGAGATTAATATAATCATAGTTCCTAATTAATAGATGGCATACATATAGAGAACACCAAATATAATATACCGGTAACTTATCTTCAGGTCAATAAAGATTAAGTACAATGTACATGCACACCATGTTATGATTGGTTAGTTATGAGCTAACTACTATTTATAGAATATACATTGCATGTATATTACAAAATCATAGTCTAGATTTCTCTTCATTACTGAAAATGTGTTAACCATGCAAGGTAGGAGTGAATGTCCTTTTTTACTAATATAAAGGCTTACGGTACTAGATCGTTAACAAATGACCTTAACATGAGTGACAGCAAATTATCTATTATAGATTCTCCCTATACATGTTTCTTATAGTTATACCTTAGGTTTTTAATACTGTACTAGAAATTTTCTCACCTCAATTAGTTTAAGAATTTGAAACTTACATAGTGTTTATTATACATGTAATGTACCCATACATGTAATGTACCCATACATGTACGTGTACTTCACCATGTACACTATAATTAATATTTCAATTTGAAAATCAATGATTCCTTTGGAAAATCAAAGCATGAATAAAAAATTAGATCGTCAAGGAATTGAATAGAAGCAGGGATAATTCTAACGGTATTGGTCGGGTGGAAAATTGAGCGAGAAGTCAAGTGATGTAAACAAAGCTCTTTATCGGCATTTGCTAATTTTGTTGAATGAACACTCCGGAATTTATAACAGTATTTATTGCTATATTAATATATATCCATCATTATGCAATGAAATATCCTAAATAACATAAAATGGAAGACATTTTTTTTTCAAAGTTTATGTTAAATACCATCCTGAAAAATCAAAACAGCGTTATATCGTGGTATGTTCGGTTTTTCAACATTTTTCTGAAGAAAGTGTTTTTGACAATTTTTATTTCTGTAACGGTTCTATATCGAAAAACCAAAATACCGCCCAGCTCTAACAGTGTGTATGGTCTAGTAGTATAGTAGTAAAGTATACATGTTAGAGCAATCACATCAAACAATCTATTACAAATATTGTTATGTCAGCGTGTGTGTGTGTGTGTTTGCAAAGTCTCCAACCGATGCAAAGTGGTATCAGGTGTTCTGAGAAGTTCAGAATACTGTACATATGCACATGTACACAACAGTATCTAAATAGGGTGATAATTTTACATGCTAATGAACTTGAGGTGCATTTTAATTTATTTGTTTAAATTTAATCATTGTCATAGTAAAAGGGTCATTATTTGGAAATGAATTGAATTTTTATTTCAGAAAATAACATCTTCAAAATAAAGAACACAATATATTACATGTATGATAGACTGTCCCCAATCATGTCATTTCAACTGTTTAATAATTTATTATAAGTAGAGGTCTAGCTTTTGAATGTCTTATAAACAGACACAATATTGAATAACACCCCCTATTTGCTTACATTACTTTGCTTGTCCTAAATTTGATTATAGGGCCCATTCATTTGTGAACAGAAGTGGAAATAATTCAAGATATGTGTAAACATATTTCAAGGTTTATCAATTCTCTTATCAGAAAGGCTTGAATTAGTCATAGGTAAAATAGAAACTGATTCATTCACATTTAGATCATCCACATGTAACTCACAAATTCTGAAGAAAATTGGAAAATATTGACCAATCAGTGCCAGAACGAGGTTAGGTATGACATCACTCTTGTAGGAAGTTATATCCTATGCATTACTGGGGTCATGTTTTATCAAAGAAAACCGTTCTTTTTTACAGTAAGCAACGTAAATCTGATAACCTACAGGTTATTTCACATTAATACCATATGAATGCTCCCTTTCGACACGAGTGGGGGCTTAATTTATACAATATGGCGCCCATATATGGAACTGTCATTGAAATAATCAGATCCCTTATATTACCGATGCCAGTCTCACGCCTCCCCCGCAACATCAAAGAAAATGTGACATACCTGTGGCGTTGTCATCTGCAGTTGTTTCTGAAGATAACCACGGTCTTTTTCTATTTCGGCTAACTTTGCTTGCGTTCGCGATAAAGCTTCTTGAGACTCGCCAAGAGTTTCCATCAATTTATCTCTCTCATCCAACATATTCACCATCAATTGTTCAAAGTTCGAGTCCTCCCCACAATCCTGTGAGTCTCTATCATTCGTACCATCCTCAGATATCGTGGGCATCACATCGCACATCATCTTGGCGATATTATCTATTCGCAGATTTTCTTAAAATTTGGAAACTGGGGGAATCAACCCAAACCAGGGATGGATTTTGAAGAGGTCTATTCCTCTAACATGCAAGTTTCACTGTCAATTACCAGATTCCTTACACCACCATCACTTCATTTTTCTTTCTGATAAGTCCAAAAACACTAGAATATTTCCGCCGCTTCATCAATAATCTATCCTAACACCCAATCCAGGTGTAATTCTTGTAAGAAACCGGCTACTCCTGTCCATCACTAGATTATTGCAGAAGCCATTTTACTTTACGGGAAAGTGTGTCAATCCCATAATTCAATACATTTATCAGGTGCGACAACTCGTAGCTAACATCAGAGGGCGCTGGTATTGCAAGACGATTGACGGCGAAAATGTGAAGGAATGGAATTGTTTGAATTTATTAAGATATTTTCAAGATGCCTAGACACAGGGAGACGAAAAAGGACCGCAAACTTGCTCTGAGTGAGCGAATGGTCATAAATGGTATTACTATACGATTGTTTTCGCTCTGGTAACCGATATTAAATTTTCTATCGATAGCAACATTTTATGATGAAATGCTAAATCGCAAGTAGAAATACTTAGTAGGCAACTTGTAGAGTCTGTTTTCAAAATTCAAGAAGAGGCCATTATTGAGTAAAACATCATTGTTTGGACTAATTGAAAACAAAAGCAATTTTAGAATCCCTACACCATATTTTTCTAACCTTTACCCTTGCTAGTTTTTATTCTTGATACTATAATCAATAACTGAAAGGAAAGGCCCATCCGGCATCCCAAACTTAGGCTGCCTGTCTTGTCTACAGCTAGCTCCGCTTGAGAACATTCCCTAAGCTAATTAACCAACATTTTAATTCCTACATCGACGATTTTAGTCGAAAACACTGAGTATGCTTTTAGTAATTTTTAAAAGTATTTATTTCTCTTCTATTGTCATATTCAATGAAATTAAATATGTTTTATTTAGCCGCTGTGTGTATGAAAGATGTCAAACTAACCAAAGCCGAATCACAAAATAGTCCTCTAATTATTCCATATGGCGGCGCCCATGAAACATAATTTCACAGAGGCGGTTTTGTTTGCGAAGACAAATTTAGGAGTATCTAACCTTGTTTTGAAAGATAAACAGATTGAAACTCTTGCGACAGTTTACAATGGCAAAGAATGTATTGTAATATTACCCACTAGCACATATTATATACCGCTTTTAACGTAGTGGCAGAAGTTGACAGTTTGCCAATGACACGTGTTTACATAATACATGTGCTTCATCAAGTTATTTTTACTCTGTTGTGTACACAAAGCGGTAGTCCCGTCGATAAGTCCTGCCTCAAAATGATCACGTGAGCGTTTTAAATGGAGTCTATTTGGGGCAGTGATCATTATCTCGAAGTATGACGTAGAAGGATTGCTGCGTGCAGTTTGGGAAAGGCCCTAACTTAGTAACTAAGGGGGGGGAGTTGTATGGCCGAATGGTGTGGTTTCAATTCCTAGGTTGGACGTGACGAGTAGGGTTGCCTGTCCTACCCCATGGGTTTCCTCCCATTGCTAAAGCGAATTATTGAAATAAAATATAAATGATGTCAGCACAATTTTTTTTAAAAATATTTTTTGATAATATACATAAAATGCTACCCCCAAATTTTTATTTCCTCAAAATATTGTAATTAGATCCAAAATTATGGAATTTTAAAATCCGAAATCAACGGCAATAATGTAATCAAAATGCTCTATACCAGTCAATGCATGGCATGGCTCCAAAATAAATGCTTTTCAGACATATCTGAGTAACGTTTTAAGCGGTATTTTCCCATCAGAATCACTAGTACCAATTTTAAAACTGAAATCTGCACGTTATAGTCAGGTTAGATTTATTAAAATCGTAATAATTTGAATGATAATATGACAAATATTTATAATCTGGATGATACCACCAAAAAAGTAGGCTATATTTAGTACCAATTTTAAAACTGAAATCTGCACGTTATAGTCAGCTAAGATTTTTTTAAATCATAATAATTCGATGTCAAATATTTATAAACTAGATAATACCACAAAAAGAGTAGGCTATATTTAGTCGATATTTAGCAAATTTCATTCTGCAAAACAGATAAATCCTGTTTTCTACGACTGTAATTGTCGTAGCTCAGGGTGTCACGCACCATAATAATCACAAAAATGTTACCTATCTTTTGATTGGTTCTATATTAAAATCACGCAGAAACTAATTATAAGGTGCGGATTCACCAGTGAAGTGAGCCGTAGCAATTTGCTTTTATGGAAAATCTACGGCCATGTGATGTCGGAGCAGTATTTTCCCGCAAGCGTCTCCCGTACATAAACGGTAATTTCACTTACATTTCGATAATTTTTTAGCGTGTCAGTGGATGTTAAACTCTCTCTCTCTCTCACTCACTCTCTCTCATATGATCAATTTTGTGCAAATATCTTGTTCTCATTATTATAGCCGCTGTCCGGACCAAATTTCCCTCATTGCACACTGCATGGCATATGCCCATGTTTATTATTCTGGTAGGAGCAGAAAAGTAGGACATTAAGAAACCCATTTCATTTCATATCTTGTTCTCTTAATAACTACATGTACATATGTAATACTAATAGGTACGCTTTTGTTTTCAGCAAGAAGTGATTTCGGAATCTCAACAAAATGTTCAAAAACTTAAAGATACATTATGGGAGCTGACAGTTCTCACCATAATAGTTAACAAATAGATAATGTAAAAGGAATTTGCTGAAAATTTCAGTCAAATTTTTCCACTCTGAACCAAGATTTTAGCGATTGAATTTTCGGCCTAGCCCCGATCAACATTCCTAAAGTCGGTACCGTATAAAAAACATACATGTAGTCTCGATCATCCATTTTATGATTAAATCAAGAATGAAAGTGGAGCAGCAAATGGGATTCTAATCCAGTAAACATCGCAGGCTAGCATTGACATCAAGAGTTGATTATGGGTTGGATAAGTTAATACATTACAGGCCTAAATAAAGACCTGCAATAGGCAGATTTAGCTCTTGCATAATGTATGTTTAAGATTGTTTGCTGTGATCAGTCTGATAAAATAACAAATAATCTATTAAAAGAAGTCATGTCTGTGTCATATGTCTTGGCTGTCGCGGTACCTACATGTAGCAATGGGTGCGAAGGCGTAGGAAAATTCATTGCATATGGTGTCTTTAATCATTGTCCATTTATCATAAATATTGAAACCTAAGTAAAATTCTCTGATTATCCCCTGCCCACATCTTTTTCATGCTTTTTATCTCAGAAACTGTTGGTGTCTTTAATCATTGTCCATTTATCATAAATATCGAAGCCTAAGTAAATTCACTGATTATCTCCTGCCCACGTCTTTTTCCGTGGTTTTTATCTCAGAAACTGTTGTATGATTCAGTCTTTCACTTTTTCAACATCTGCTCACCATCAAGTTTATCAACATACACACCAAGAGGTCAGACAATCTACACATGCATCTTTGACGTCACTTAAGCAGACAGCCCTTAATCGTCAGGCTGCCATTTAGTGACACCGTCTCATTTTTTACCTGTGTGCGCTCCATGGGTGTCTTTCAAGGAATCCAGTATTTTTATAGGTCCACATTTATGCCGTCGCCACTGTCTGTGTGTGTGTGTATATGTATGTCTGTGGGTCGCCTGAAATGACCCCAGAGGCAGAGCCAAGCGTAATTTTTGTGTTTGTCGTATACAGGACGCGATTCTGAATGGATCAGCTTGGATTTTGGCATATATACATGTACATGTATTCCTTATAACCTTAGGACGGCAACTATTGATTTTGGTGCATGTCCCGACCCTCAGTGGAAGAGCCATAGCCACACCCAATTTTTGCGTTTAGCGTCCCAAAGGCCACAATTCTGAATGGATTATCTTGGAACTTGGTACATGTATACTTATTCCTTTTACCCAAAGGCGCCAATTATTGATGTTGGTGCATGCCTCAACCCCCTAGTCTGTAAATTTTGCAAAACAAACCCAATGCCTAGCCTTCTTTGCCTCTTGTCATATTAATTATAGTCATTGCAGCCATTTCATATTTTATTCTCTTCATTTTAAAAAGTACCATATCAATCAAAGCAGGAATGTGGACATATATTGCAGCCTTAGTGACGCTTTTGTTCTAGTAAGATTTTGTGTCTCTATTTTCCATACCAAAATTGCCATGCTTTTATTGGAAATAACCACCCAATAAATACTTTTGTAGGAAAGTTTCTTTAAGACTTTGCTGGGTTTTTTTTTTTAAAAATATGTAATTTGAAATGTAAATTATATTTTAAACTCAAACATCCAATTGATTTTTTTCAGATGTAAAATTGAGTGATTTTGCCAATGCCTCAATGTCCAACCCTAGTGCTCATCCAAAGAAGGGTGTCTTCAATGTCCATTTAGATTGTAAGTAATCATTTCCCATTTTCATCCATTAGAGATCGGGGGCTAAGCAGATTGATTTAAAGAAGTGTAAAAAATAATTTGATACTTATCAGTATTTGAGAATACAGTCCCCTGTTGTTTGCATTTTTGGAGTATTTTTTTTTATCTGAAATCTTAGTATTTGTTTTAATGATTGGATTACACAAATTCTGAATTGCACTTACTAACTGAACTATATGTTGAATATAATGTCGTGCCCGCCAACTCGGCCAAACGTTCACTGCATTGCCTTTAAACTGTGCTCTGATATTTGGACATCATTGGGGAAGTTTTTCTTTGTCAGATACTGAATTAAATAAACCTAGCTCTCTATCACTTTCAAATGAAATGAAATGGGTTTTGACAGTGGCGGACCCAGGTGTTGTGGGGGGGGGGGGCCCTACATCTGGTCTCCTAAATCACCGTATAAAATATTCCTACTACTCAATTTTCAAATTCAAACTGTCAAGGGTTCTTTTATTTGCATGCCAATGAGTACAGTATCTAAAAAAAAAACAATGTCCGAGCATTACCATCTTTTTGTTAAGTATAGAATTAGAATAAATAAAACCAAGACAATGTACGGACTATTTCTATTTTTCTCGTTTTCTCTTATTTAGTGACATTCAATTACTTTTTTGAATTGTCAGATGTCCTCTCACAGTGAGAATTATTAGTGAGCAGAAATTTGTCTGTGTATTGGTTATCACTGTCACTTCAGACAGTTATATAGAAGGATAACTATTGTTTTCCTTTTGCTTTCGTTACTTCCATTTCTTGAAATCTTCATTACGCATATATTGTAGCAATGATCTCTGTTTTAAAATTATATTTGGAACGTATTTAACCAGTACTGTTACATATGTGATAATGACTGACACCAATATTGTTTTTAAATTTAAATGGTCTCTTTGGATGGGAGGGGGGCACGGTGGCTAAGTGGGTAAGACGCTGGCTCGCTAGCCTGAAGGTCAGGTGTTCGATCCCTGCATTGGCCAAGAAAGCTCATCCAGATTTTCCGGCGTAGTTCCCCTTTGTCAGTGATGCAGGACGGAGGGCCTGACAAGGACAGCAGTCTAGTCGTTTGGATGGGACGGAAAACCAAGGTTCCATGTACATATTGGTGTGCACCTTAAAAAAGATCCTTTGACAGTTGGAATTCGATATAAGAGTAGGCTGTAGTGCTGCTGTCCGGGCAAAACTTCCCTTATAGCACACTGTATGGCGTATGCCCGTCTTCATTAGCCCAGTTCGGAGCAGAACAGTAGGACGTTGAAACCCCATTTCATTTCATTTCATTTCATTGCTCTGGATGGGCTACATAATAACTATGTCTAAAATGCTCTAGTGGTTTGGTTGTCCAGTACTGTCGGCATAGATCATAAGCTTCAACTTTCATAAGCTTACATCAACATTTAAAGATACAAAGTTGTAACTTTAGGAACACTTTTTATATAGTTCTCCAAAGTTTTCAAAACATGAAATATTTTATTTTTCAGCAAATAAAATTAGTAAGGTGTCAAATCTTGGTAAAGAAGATTTAAGTTGGTTTGAGAAAGATCTGGATGATTTTGAAATTAAAACAGAAACTACTGAAGGGGAGACAGAAGGTAAAATGTAAAAGTCTCTTTAAACTCGTCAGAAGTAGCAGAAAACAACAGGCATTCTAACTGTGAAAACCATAAGCAGCTATTTTGAATAATTCAGCATAGTAAGTTCGATAATGAGCATTTTCTGCTCAGGGTAAGCAGAGCAATAAGCAATTTGATTGGTCAAGATTTTGGAGCGCAATAACTATCCTTCTAATTGAGCTAGAATGTTTACACTTGGTTTAGGTGTTTATTAGGTGAATGTCTTAACGGAGTTCGATGATGAGAATTTTCTGCTTATGGTACACAGAGATAAGCAATTTGATTGGTTGATGCTTTGGGACACAATAACATGAATACCTTGACTAAGTTCAATAATGGACATTTTCTGCTGAGGGTAAGCAGAGCGATAAGCAATTTGATTGATCGAGACTTTGGAACACAATAACTCTCCTTCTAATTGAGGTTGGATGGCCAAATGGTTAACACATGTGCGCTGTATCATAAGGTCTGTCATTGAGTCTACTGCCGTGGTTTTGATTCCCAGATTGTATGTGACAAGGAGTAGGGTCGCCTTTCAAACCTCGTGGGTTTCCTCCCACTGCTAAAGACCCCTACGTGTAAGTGAATTGTTGAAATAAAATTGAACTGTGTGTTAGTCCTGAAATGACCTAATTTGTGTAGAGTGGGGGTTAAACCCCATTTACCTCTCTCTCTCTCTCTCTCTCTCTCTCTCTCTATCTCTCTCTCTCTCTGTCTAGAGGTATGGCCCTTGTTTCACTTTGTTGCACCTTATGAACGCTCTAACATGAGTTATCAGTCAATCTGTATGAAATTTATATGCGTCATTTAAATCCTATTGAATTTCAACAATTTCCATTAATTACATCTAGAGTTATGGCACTTGTTTCACTTTGTTCAGCCATTTTAATGCTGGATTATCATCAGATAAGTATGAAATTTATGTGCACTAGTTAAATTTGTGAAATGGAGGTCTATTAACTTCTAGAGTTATGGCCCTTGTTTTTACTTTGTGAACTTTCTGCATGTTTGAATGATAAAAGTTATCATCCCATGCATTATTTGAATTAGTAAAACGAAAAAGCCTATCAAATTTCAACAATTTCTGTTAATTACTCCCAGAGTTAATGCCCTTATTTCAGTTTGTAGAACCTTGTGAACCCTCAAACGATGAAAATTATAATTATAATGCGATCTGTATTAAATTATCTTGTAAATGCCCCCATTTACCTACAAAAGAATAAATATGTGACAGCTCGGACGATTTATCTGCTCTGAGCGTATATTTATTGTTGCCTAGCAACTTATCTTTTGTTAATATTTATTCTGTGACTTTAACATAACAAACCCAATGTCTAGCCTTTTTTGCCGCTTGTCATATTACAGTCATTGCAGCCATTTCATATTTCATAGTCTTAATTTTAAAATGTACCATATCAATCAAAGCAGGAATGGGACGTATATTGCAGCAGTAGCAATGCTCTTGTTTATCAAGTTATTGCCCTTGCCTTTACAACTTTGTAAACGAGTTAATTGTTGCAGTGGCGATTTGATTATGGATTGTTTCCAATTAAATCATTAGTCTTTTTGATACCCGCTTTGTCAACAAATGAAATGATCACAACCACTTTTAGACTACTCATTGTCTGTTTTTTTCTCTAAGGCCTACCTAGGATGAACACTATTGAAAATTTTTAGATGAATATTGCATTACTATTCACTATTCAAAGTTTGTTTGGTTAATTAACAATTGGATTGACTATTTTGGATTTAGTTGATGGTCATTACATTGACGTTATCTCCTATCCAACAGTTTCAATTTTTGAAATAAATGCCCTAAACTATTTGCTTCAATTAGCTGTTGATACAATCTGATTAAAACACATACCCTATTTCATTTTGTTTTTTATATAGTTCAAAATTTCGTTTGAATTGTCTTTAACCCATGTTCTGGTTGATGTGAGGGCTTATCCAATGAAAAGGTCTGTGGTGCACAGAACTGGGGGTATCCCACTACAAAAATCAACGCTGATTGGTTGATCAAATGTCTGATGTCATAGGGTCAAAAGCCGCTCATGACACGTTGATGCGACTTCTCACTACAACCTGTCGTGGAGGCCATTGAAAGTATAAAAAAACAAAATGAAATATAGATCTGTATTTTAATCAGATTACTGTTGATATTAAGTCAAAATTAATCCCCTTCGTTTTGCATAGGTAACCATGGAGATACAGATAACTGAAGTATTTTGTTAATGGATCATATTAAGCCCCATTCCTTTTTGGGCAATGTACTAGACTATCTCATAATTATTGTAAAACAGATATATTGTTATAGCATATTTTTTTTTTTTTATTATTAAACCAGACAATGTAGAAATAGAAGTAGCGCAACAAACTCCTAGAAAAAATAGAAAATCAAGAAAGGGGAAGCAAATCCAGTTAAGAGAAAAAGATGGCATTGATTATCCAGTAGATTTATGGTATCAGTTGTCCTACTATATATATCCAGAAACTGTTTCAGTGTTTGCTCGTCTGTGTAAATCAACCAGCAGAATAGTCTCAACAAATTCTTTCTGGAGAAACTTATATACAAGGTAATTGACATTGTTATTGAAATTTGTTAAAAAGCAATCACTTTCACTCTGAACAGAAGTAGAATAAAATGTATGTCAGCATCCTTTACACAGATATATTGTATCTGCCAATAAAATGACCAGCAATAGGTAGATTTATCTCTTACATAATGCATCTTTAAGACTAAGAGTCACACATACATCATTTGGAGGCAGACCACCATCAAATTTCACCATCCTGATACCTCACAAATTATTGTGTCTATTTATAGCAGTTCTCTCTCTCTCCCTTTTTGCCCTTTTACATGACCGTTTACATGGGTTCGTCTGTCTGTCTGTCCGCCCGTCCGTCTGTTTGTCAATCCGTCACACTTTCTGGGCTAGAATGTTCAAACTTGGTGTACAGTGTTTATTAGATCAATGTCTTGATGGCGTTTGACCACAAACATTTTCTGCTAAGGGTTTAAGCAGAGATAAGCAATTTAATTGGTTGATGCTTTGGGACACGATAATTTTAGTTCTAATTAAGTGAGAGTGATGAAACTTGGTGTATAGTTTCATTACACCATTACCTTGACTAAGTTCGATAATGAGCATTTTCTGCTCGGGGTAAGCAAAGTGATAAACAATTTGATTGGCCGAGACTTTGGAACACAATAACTCTCCTTCTAATTGAGCTAGAATGTTCAAACTTGGCATAGGTGTTTATTAGGTGAGTGCCTTGATGGGAGTTCGAAGATGAGCATTTTCTGCTTAGGGTAAGCAGAGATAAGCAATTTGATTGGTTGATGCTTTGGGACACAATAACTTTAATTAAAATTAAGTGAGAGTGAGGACACTTGATGTATAGTTTTATCACATCAATACCTTGACTAAAATTGATAATAAGCATTTTCTGCTTAGGGTAAGCAGAGCAATAAGCAAAGCGATAAGCAATTTGATTGGTCGAGACTTTGGAACACAATAACTCTTCTTCTAGTTTAGGTAGAATGTTCAAACTTGGTGTAGGCGTTCATTAGGTGAAAACTTTGATGGAGTTGGATGATAGACATCGTCTGCTTACGGTAAGCAGAGATAAGGAATTTGATTGGTTGATGCTTTAGGGCCAGTGACTTTGATTTTAATTAAGTGAGAGTGATGAGTATAGATTGATTATATTATTACCTTGACTAATTTCGATGATGAGAATTTTCTGCTTAGGCTAAGGATCGATAAGCAATTTGATTGGTCAAGACTTTGGAACATAACAACTCTGCTTTTAATTGAGATAGAATGTTTAAACTTAATGTTGATGTTCATTAGGTGAATGTCTTGACTGAGTTCAATGATTAACGATTCGAGCGAAAGCTAAATAAAGCTAAGCAATTTTATTGGTCGATGCTTTGGGACCAGATAACTTTGCTTCTATCTGATAGAGAGTGATGAAACTTGGTGTATAGTTGATAATCGGTTTCATTGCTTGATACTTTTGAAAAAAAATAAATGTGCGATTAATTAATATGTGTCATCTATTTATTTTGGGATTTCGGCGGGGACATCAGCCTCACTGTTGGCTTGTTGGTTTAGAATCAAAGAAGAGGGTTCGAATTAAAAAAATTTTGCCAGGTTTTTGTAAATATTCATGATTTAAAGGCAGAAGTATAATAGAGTTAAGAAGTTGGTTACGCCGATATATATATGACGAATTGTTACATGCTTATAGTATACTAGTTCAAGTTTGTGTATCTCAAAAGTTCATTGATCAACCTCACACAAAATCTGTAGTAAAGACATGACCAATTGTTGCTCTGTCTGTAGTAAAAAGCATTCAGCACAACAAAATGTGGGAAAAGTTACTGCCCTTGCCATTAAACCTTTAAATCTCTTTGAGATTTTTATGGTGAACATTTTGAAGGTGTTTGACTAAGCTAAAGGATGAACTCTATGGAATTCAGTTACTTTTGGTGGATGCTTGATTTTTAGTCCTGAACGTCCCGGATTGACAGAATTGCAATCTTGTGAAGTGGAATTCAGTCCCATCACAGTTGTGTCAGTCCCGACAACGGAGGTGGTGTGAGTAGAATTGTGATGGAATTAAACACAACCAATATGTTTCAGCTATTATGGTTGGTTGAGATATTTTCTTATGCGTTCATCAAAACCTTGCAGTTATCATTGTCAGCCATTTTAAGACTATTGCCTTTTCAAGTCAGGTTTACGGTTAGAGGTCTGAAAAACCTTCCAAGGAAATCATTTTTTAGTTGAAATGCATCATACAGAGTAAATTATTTTCTTAAATCTCATTTCAGATTCTATATCTCAAAGATCAAATTACCCAAAAAATTACAGCCTGTCTGTATTGAGAGAATACATGGTCTTAAAGCAAATGTAGTTCGTGCTCTTTATCATTTTTATCCTCCATTCATAGAAAGACTCACTCAGACTGTGCCATTTGAAAGTGAACCACACAGTCTAGTTGGACAAAGATGCTTACTACTCTGGTATCAACCAGTTAAAAACTACTGGAATTTCTGTTTTAAGTTTGTGAAACCTGGTTTTCTTCATCAAGGCAAAAACACTTTAACAAGTCAACGAGATATTATTGACCATTATGATGATCTCTCGTACAATACAGAAGCTGGCTGTACAATCCTCCAAGTGACGTGCACTCACTTTCTATCAGTTCCAATAGTCATGGGCATGGTATTAAACAGAGTATTTTTGACAGTCAGTGGGCAGGGTATGCGATATCACACACTTCGTTTGATGTTTGATTCCCGATATCAACATCAGTCTATGAATTCTGGGACAGCTTTAGTTTTAGATCCAGTGATAAATGTACGAGTCATTCCCTGGTGGGATCCAAAATATCCTTTTACAACCTGATTTCATTCTATAGCTCAGATACGTAATTTTTATCTAATGATAATGTCCATTGTACCATGGGTTTTTTTTTATAGTAAATTCCTGTGTTTATTTTTAATGTACATGTTTAAATACATCATATAATACCAATGTTTCGGCACGTATGTATTCGTAATTAGAAAATTGACTACTGTTAAAATTGTAGGGGTAATGTTTACTATTGTTAAAATTGTAAGAATAACATGGGGAAAATTGATTATTGTTTATATTTTAGGGATAATGGAGAAACATTGACTGTTGTTAAAATGTAGGGATAATGGGAAAAATTGTTAGCAAGGTTCCGATGAAAGTTGTAATGTTTTAAAGGTCTTGGTCAGATTTTTGAATTCTGTAGAATGTCAGCATGTAGTTATTGAAACATGAATGAAACAATCTAATCCATCAAAAAAACTCACAAATATTAAGACTGATTTAAAATTCAAGCCTAAAATAAAACCAACCCTGTTTGTTGTGTGAATAGCCATATATATATACAAAAATATGATAATTTGTGGATTTGATATGACCAATATCATGTAATATCCGATTAATCACATTGGTGTTGTAGGCAGAATTATTGAGGTAACCTATAATTATCAGATCTATTTTTATCCAGTTCCTATGTATTATTACCACTTGATTTCTTTTTTCTTCAAAAGATTAGAGTTTGACATTACAGATATTGGCTTAGTGGACTGCTGACTTTAAACAGTGTTGTATGATTTGTTATTTGATTTTTATCACCTTTTTCAAGGCTGTATCTTGATTTAATACTGTATAATTATTTAGATTCTAGTATTTCGATTACAATTTTATTGGTATCTCATTTGTTATAAGCTAGCATGCATATCAGTCTTTTATGCTGGTTGTGAAATTATTTCTTATAAGAAAACATTACACTCAAGTCAATCCAATTTTTGTAAATCTTTTCAACACTAGACCTTGAGCTCATTCTTAATACTTGTACAAGTTATAGCAAAATCTTCATTTTTATACGCCAAAGTGGATATGTGGTTGTATATTGCTGTCGCCCTCCGCCCGTCCAACATCACAATTTCTTGTGAACACTCTACAGGCTACATTTATCATCTGATTGTTTTAAAATTGATATATGTTGTTGACTTTAGTGAGATGAAGAATCCTATTTAATTTCAATAATTTCTTCTGTAGTTTTGGCCCCTGTTTCACTTTGTTGCACCTTGTGAATGCTCTAACGCCAAAATTTATCATCCAATCTGTATGAAATTTGTATGCATCAATTAGTAAAATGAAGAAGCCTATTTAATTTCAGCAATTTCCGTTTATTACATCTGAAGTTATGGCCCTTGTTTCACTTTGATGAATGTTGTGAACACTCCAACAACAAAAGTTATTATCCAGATCTGTATGAAATTTAAATGAATGAAACAAAGAAGCCTTTTGAATATCAGTAATTTCTTTCAATTTCAATTTCTTTCACTTTGAACCTTGTGAACGCTCTAACACCAAAGAGTTGTCATCCGATCTGTATAAAATTTGTATGCATCATTAAAATTAGTAAGATGAAGAAACCGATTGAATTTCAGCAATTTCCTTCAATTACATCTCGAGTTATGGCCCTTGTTTAACCTTGATGAACTTTGTGAATGCTCTAATGACAAAAGTTATTATCCGAACTGTGTGAAATTTATATGCATCATTTAAATTTTAAATGAGTGAAACAAAGAAGTCTATTGAATAGACATTTTTATTGTGAAACCTCAAACAACGGAAAGTATAATCTGATCTGTATGAAATTGTCTTGTTAATGCCCCTCATTACCTACAAAAGAATAAATATGCAACAACCCTTGTCAGCCGCTCGAACCATTTAGCTGCTGTGTGCATATGTTTCGTTGCCTGGTAACCTATTATTTACATGAGTGTCTGGAGGAAAAAAAAACCACACCAAAATATAGAGTTAATCCCTTGAAATATCTACGTCTGAGGACTATTCAGCCAAGCAAAATTTAATGAATGCAATTTCCAATTCTTTGTACCAACATTTTAGACTGTTTTGATATTGTTAAATATGCAGACAGAGACAGATGCATATAAAGCTACATCTTGAGAAAATTGTTGTTGTGTTCAAGTTGCAGTGCAATGTCATGACTGTCAAAATATAGTTGTTTTTAGAATTGAGGTTTGGCATTTATAAAGATGTTTAAACGACTTCATTCCATGTTGTTTTGTTATAATATTTATTTATTTTATAAAGTATACAAATATACTATTACTTTATTGAAATAAACCTAATTTAAATATATAATTGTGTCTATAATTTTTTACTTAGAGACTAAACATAAAATTAAGAAAAATCAAATACACTAAAGGAATTTTTTTTTTTATATGGTCAGTAGAAATGACAGTAGCATGTTGAGTAAGAAATCTATAATTCACCCAGTAGTTATATACATATGATAATTGCCAGACTCAGCCCCTCAACGCAGCAATTCGAACCTGGGGCATTCTGATTGTGAGCCTGAATTAAAGTTTAGAAATATAGACTAGAATATGAGCAGGACTAAAAGAATGACGTCACAGATTGTTTATTGATGGAAAGTTACGACTTCCCACGGAGAAAGGCAGAAATTACTAACGTTGAAATTTACTTGTTGCAGGTAATACATGTATTGACATTCGGGTTCGTGTTATACTTATGGAAAGGATATGTTGACACATACAAACAATTTGTAAAGCTTTTCCAGTGACCCTTAAGGGCCCTAAATTAGTTTGAAAAAAAAATTATTTTGTTTATTTATTAAGTCTATTAAAAATCTATCTTCCATACTGACATACAAATTGCATTTGTGTGAGTGTGACAATGACCAGAATGTTCCATTTAACTGTTGATGCAAGGGCACCTTTTTACATTTTAGCCAGGGGCCCCATGCAAGCTTAATCTGTTCAAAGAAATGTGGGGGTCACGGTGCCTAAGTGGGTAAGACGCTAGCTCGCTAGCCTGGGGGTCGGATTTGCGATCCCTGCTTGACCGAGAAAGTTCATCCAGATTTTCAGGCATGGTTCCCCCTTGTCAGTAATGCCTGACGGAGGGCCTGACAAGGACAGCTGTCTAGTCATTCGGATGGGACAAAAAACCGAGGTCCTGTGTACACATTGGCGCGCACATAAAAGATTCCTTGACATTCGATATAAGAGTAGGCCGTAGTCTGGGCAAAATTTCCCTCATAGCACTGTATGACATAATTATGGCCGTCTTCATTAGCCCAGTTCGGAGCAGAGCAGTAGGAGGTTAAACCCTAGCTACGAGAACCTAGCTAAAAATGTTGAGATATACTGACGTAGGATTGAGAGATGAGGTTTGTTATCTAGTTAAACCCCATTTCATTCATTCAAAGAAATGTATAGGCGTGCTGATGTCAACTTTTTAAACACTCTACTTTGATTCTGGACCAATATATTGAAGTGAAGCATAAAATCAATTGCTCAAGGGAAGATTACAGCTTGAACCAAACTGAGCTTGAAATTCTCAATTTCACCTCTCAGTGACTACAACAAAATAATCTTTACATTTTCATTAATTGTCAAACATAAAACTATTATTAACTACCTTTTCAATTTTTCAATTTGTCAATTTGAAAATAGGCAATACAGCTCTATTATTTAAATTTACACACCTTGGGATGTTATTTCCTTTAAATTCTCTTGAACGAGAGGATTAGAATGGGACAGGATCTTGAAGCCTTCCTGTCAATTCCGTCCGTTTTGTGAGAGTTGACATAACATGAGAAAGTGTCATTTTTCACCTGCGCAAACAGGGGCTCAATATTTTTTTTTATCAAGATTTATTTTCAAACCTTGGGGTAGGTGGGTGTACAGGTTTTTTTTTGACATGAGTGAAAGCAAGCGAGTGTGTTTTAACAGTGGGTGTGTTAATTAGTTTTCCTACTCAAAGACCCCGATTCCATTACCTAGAACATAAACGAGAAATACGTCCATGATATGAAAGCGACAGATTCTGAATTTCGAAATTTATATCCCGATTCTGCACCATGTGAATGTGTAAACCCGAAATAATAAAAAAAAAACCAACGAAAAAACGCAATTGTAAATGGGCGAGTATTTGAAATTGTCATATACTGAATATAACGCCTATTATCACTGTCAGTACCAAGTGATAGCTGGGAAAATCTTCCAACACGCAAATTTCGATGTTCTTTACCAGCTCTCAATGCAAAATGAAGACCAAATTGGTAAACAAGAGTGTCCAAAAGAGTTTGTGGGTTACTTTCTCCATGTAACCCCTTATTCCATAAGATATCTTCTTCTTGTTCAGTTATAATGCCTGCTTGTTTTCTTTCTAATCCAATACCTTTCCTTGAAAGATCTTTCATTTTGGCATCTAGCACATTCCTCAGTTCCTGAAATTAGATGTCATCTAAAAATCTCACAAATATTCCATTTTGTCGCAGGAGGGTATTTGGTCTTCGTCGCGGCCTCATTAAACAGAAACTAAAATCTGTGAATCCCATTGCTAGGTGCTGGTCTGAACAGTGATGACCAGTCTCACTGGGCTGAGGGGGGGGGGGGGATCCGCGCCTGCCTAATCTCAGCAATAAAATAAATAAGATATTCGTTCATTTCTTTGAGAGACATCTAAAGTAAATCTTTACACGGTAAATTCTGTCGTTGGTTTGACCATTTCACAAATAAATTCACTGCCCATTTCGCCTTCTGTTTAGTTTGCTGGCATAATCCATTGCTTACAAGGTTTTTTTTAGGTCCGATTAATGAAGAGGTTCAGCAAACCTACTTGTACTGTGTTTTTCATCCGATTTTGCATCCCCGTCAGAAATGTCAGAATACAGGTTATACTCCAAATCAAACTTAGGAAAGCTTATTAATTGATTTTCCTGTATGTCTAAAACGTCCCTCAACACCTTGTCTGTATCTATATCAGTACTATCATTATATATTGTTTTAGATTGAGTAATAAAAATATCCCCTCCACTTGAAGACATGGTTAAACTGAACTACTTCTATGAAGTGTATAATTACAAATGGATGCTGTTTTATGAAACTATTCATTATTTTGTGTTTTAACACAGTGAGTGGTGTTTGGGGTGTGAGTGATGGTGACATTATTTGACCACTGAGATTGTTTAACAGAAAGCTATGTATTAAGTAAGATAAAATCCTCAGACTGTCCATTATGTGACTCGAAAGCAAGGATTCGGGGCTCACGCCTCTCAGCCATGCTTTCTTGTCACATAATAAACAGTCTTCGGACATTATCCATTACATAGTGAAGTATGTTTCATCTCCGCGCAAAGACTGTACGTTTTATTTATAAAAAGTAATAACAATTCTGCTACTTTAATGACCAGGACTCTGACGCCACCATTGCCCGCAAACGCTCTACCAAAATATGGCCTGTGTAAACGTCGAAACCATTAATTCTTACAGGAATGAACTCCTTATGGAATAGGCCTTCTGAAAACATTATGGGATTCTCCTTTGTGGAATGTGGAAAAATAACAGTTATCTCTCATTTTGCAACCAAATTTATAAAATTTGGTAAACGCGATGTTGGACACAGAACCCTTATAAACACTTGCAATAAAGAATGGGTATGGTAATTCTGAATTTTTCGAGATTAAATCTCCGCTTATTCCCTACTTTGAAGTATTAAATGCCACGCAAAAGTTCATAGCCGTAAAGGGTCATGTAAGGGTCTGACAAGCCCTCTTATATTTTTAATAAATACATTTGAACTGAGGTGTTTGTCGATGTTATCAGTCGTTACCGTATATTGTTTTGTTTCCTTGTAATTTGCACCAATTTAATCGTTTAACAAATGATCGTGAGTCAATGTGACGTGCATTATTCAACCACAGATCTTAACTCTCATAATGGGTTTAATTTTTTTTCCTAGAAACACGAGTTCAATTTTAAATATCTATAAATGTTTATTCAAGCAAGAAGGATGCCAGTTGATATGAAGATACAATTGATTACTTAAATGTTTGTTGTCACCCTCTCGGTGCAGGTTCAGGCCGCCCTGACTCAACCATTCGACGGATATCATAAACTATATCTTTGAACCCCAATAGTCTAAACACTTAGGCTGAGGCCTCTTTAAGTTCATTAGGTAATGTATATAAAGCCTAATCTACAAATCAACCGATTTTCATATAGGATATATTCTAGATTGTCATTGAACAAAACATTACCCTGCCTCTCACACCGAATCCGTTTTATGACGATTTGAAAATTCCACCAATCTATGCTGCTCCCTATGTAACAGACCCCCTCCATCTTTATTTGCCGTGAACCAAATTTATGGACCTGTTTTAAATTTGATTGAATCCAAACCGGGAAATTATCTATTTTGAATTTGCTTTCTTTATTAAATGTTAAATAATCAATATGAGTACATTTTAGTTGTTTTAGGTGAAATCGGGAGAGCCTATCTATTTGAATAGTTGGCAGAACATTTGTACAGTCTGAGCCCCCAGACTGTACAGTATAAGACTATAGAGGAGTGGAAGGACAATGGAATCTAGCGCCTGAAAATTTTAGTCAATGTCATGACAGATGGGACCAAATTCTCGTTAACGAGAGGATAAGAAATGGGACAGAATCGTAAGGTTTGTCTGTCAATTTCGCCTGTTTTATGAGAGTATGAAACAAGACTTCTACAGTCTGTCGCTCCACGCCACGACTCACATTAGTCGCACTACTACTGCAAGGGCGATTCACTGTACAAGAGAGGTGAGTTGAAAAATGATGACATAATGGAATTGCGCGCAGTAAGAGAACTTTTTTAGATTATGTAACTAAGCTTTTAATTTTTTGGGACTGGTCTTGAGGGGACTCGCGGGGGCACTTACTTAGTCTCTGAAATGCCATTTACTGGACTTTGGGGAAGATTTTGCCGAATTCTGATGGTCAGAAAATACGTTTTAATTTCTACTGGGATTAAAAATGCAACAAGTAAAAATTCTTAAGTTCAATAGATCGCCTTAACATTTCATAATTTAAAGGTTTTGTTTACGTATTTCTGAAACAAACTATGCTTCCGATAACTTCTTACCAACTGTTCCTACGATAATCAAGAATATATTTTGAATTATCAAAATCTTCGGAAGCTCTCTCAATTCCTTAGACCAACATACTCATAACAGGGATTTTTTTTTCAAACATGACAAGTTGACTAGGTTATGTCATACTATACCGTTGCAATTTAGGTGTACGGATTCACAGTAAAAATTACGCCCCTAGATGGAGTAGAAACGTAGAAAATTAAAGCCAATTTCATTTCATTTTGCCTGTTAGTAAAAATATATTTTTTTTGGTGTAACATCGACATATAATTGCTTCGAGTGTGTGCAAATTACATTGTCATGTTTTAAGTTTCATTGATTCGAGTCAAGGTTTATTTTGAATAAAATAAATAAAGGTACTTTGTATCCTATAGGGTATTTTGATTAAAGTAAATAAAGGTACTTTCCATCCTAAATGGTATTTTGAATAAATTAAATATTTTGATTAAAGTAAATAAAGGTATTTATTTTGAATAAATTATATATTTTTTTTTATTAAAGTAAATAAAGGTACTGTATATCCTAAAAGGTATTTTGAAAAAAAGTAAATAAAGACACCATCCATCCTAAAGGGTATTACCAGGGGCGTGGTGACCCGTTATTTTGCATCAGGAACAAGATCCCGTCCGGGTCCCCAAAACAATATTCTATGTGTGTGCGGGGGAGGGGGTGGGGTGGCAGTCCCTCCCAGTGCCATCAGTAATATCGGGCTGTGTGGAACATGCTAGAGTCGATTTGTTGCATATCTGCCCAACACTATATGTTTGACACTGGTTGGGCATTATGATTATGATTATAATGTTGAAAACCGCATTGAAGCCGCGTGATATTTTTGCCATTTGCGAGCAATCTGATTAAAACACGGATCCTATTTCGTTTCGTTCTTTATAGTTCAAAATTTCGTTTTACTTACCTTTCCTACACTAGGATCTGGAAGAGTTGATATCATTGACGTATTCAGGATGGTGCGAGGGATTAGCCAATGTTACGGCGAAGTAAACATCAATGCTGATTAGATAATCAATTGTCTGACGTCATAGGGTCAAAAGCCGCTCGTATAATCTCTGACGCGACCTCCCCCCCCCCCCAAAACAAAAAACAAAAAAATTGGCCTGATCTTCACGTAGTGTAGGCCATCGAAAGTATAAAAAAACGAAACGAAATATAGATCTGTATTTTCATCAAATTGATTTGCGAGGTGCGCAAAAGCTCAAGGGAACGCAAAGCACACCATTGCGTCCCTCTGGTATTCACTATTCAGTTAACATTAATATAAAGTAACAATTTAGCGCAATAGTTCCACATCTGGGAAATACCACAATATCTGGGTTCACATAACAAAGTTTTTTTGTTGTTGAAAGTAATACTGCCTCTATAACAAATAGTGATGAGCTTGAACTAATAAATTTCTGGGTTATTTTCACAACCGTTACCTGTTTTGTTGTCCATACTGTTAAATTCATTTGTTATTTGCGGACAGAGACACGCGATAATTAATAACTGGCGCATGATTTGATGATTTGTGATGAGTTTTCAAATCGTCGCCCGTCCATTACTCATAAAGATATTAGTTATACCTTAATTACACGGTTAAAAATATTATTATTATTATTATACATGTATTTATATTGCTGCTTTCACTAGAAGTGTTTATTGGTTCTTTATAATAATTGCAGCAAGTCCAATAAAATATAACATGACAAGCAAATAAAATATAAAATCACAAACGAATAAAATATAAAATGAGAAGCGCGCAGCCGACCTTTACTGACTTTTTTACCTTCTACATAGACATGTATTATACTGTCACATGACAGACATGTCTTGGTTCTCCAGTCGTTAACGTTGATATAAACTGTTTGATGTCAGTTTAAATATTTCTGATTGGATATTCAGACGTATGCGTAAACCAACTAAATTCATCACAACAGAATGGCTTCACTTTAATCATAGCGTTAAAATCCTGTTCGTATGTGTATTATAGGCTATGCGTGAAATATAATATACTTTACTTTTTTGTGTAGTCTACTTTGTTTGCTTAAACATTTTTCCACAAGGAAGAAAGCTTAAACATTTTTCCACAAGGAAGAAAGCTGCGAACATCATAATATATTAGTTGTGGGGAATTATTTGTCATCTTAATTATTTCTAATTATACTTTCTTATGGATGTGGCGAGAATTTATGACATTAGAGATGTATACGCCTGAAGGCATATTTATAGAAATGTGATGTGATTTAATAAACGACGAACGTTACATAGAGTATGAATTCTAAATATTAGCTCAGGTTGGGGATAATCTAAAGAGTGAAGGATTCTTTTGAGGATTTAAGATGACAGAAGAAAGTGTACTTACCTATGTGGGTATAGCCATGGCCATTGGGACTATCGGAAATGCTTTAGTGATATATATATTTGGATTTCGATATCGGAAATCACCGTTCAATATGCTGATTACGATTTTAGCCATATATGACTTATTATCATGTATAATACACATGCCCTTGGACATTGTTGGTATGTTATTACCTGAGATTTTACCTCATTCAATATTCTGTAAAGCTGCCTGTACAATGGTGTCTGTAACTATGATTGCTGCCAGCATCGTATTAATAGCCATAGCTATTATGAGATATCGTGGTGTGTCTAAACCGCTTTCAAGAAATATCGACATAAGAGAAGCTAAGGGGATCGGGATTCTTGCCATAATACCAGCTGTGGGATTATCATGGCCGATTATTTTCATGTTCACTACCGAAACTATTACAAGCAAGGAGGGAAGGAAAATCGCAATGTGCGGCATCCATGATAAGGCCTACACGACCTATGCTTTGGCTTTCCATTCTGTTCTCCTCGGTCTGTTTTTAGTGAACTTCATATCACTGGTTGTGTTCTATCTTGTGATTGCGCGGGTCATGATCAACAGAAATAAGGTATTCGCGCAAAAAAATAAAAGGAACAGATCAATTGCCATTGCTTCCATCATGGAAAAAAGTGACCAAACATCTACTGGAAACACCCCTGGAAGTACACATGACAGTAAAATGGGGATGATATCTGCTGGAAAAAAGAATTCGATAACACAAAAGTCAATGTCGTTATTTGTTCATGAGCCACAAAGTCCTAAATCCGAAAGATTAAAACCTGCGGGCAGATGCAGAGAACGAAGTAGTGCCAACAATGGTTTGCTAATGATGTTTTTAGTGACAATTTTATTTTTATGTAGTTACCTCCCGCACCTGGGCTACTCGATGTATTTTTTACTGTGCAGTATGGACGATATTATCAACTTAGCAGTCACCGCGTCCTTTGGTGTCCTCGTTCGTTCCTATTACATGAACAGTTTTTCTAACCCTATTATATACGCACTATGTAGCGGAGAATTCAGATTCGAAGTTGCCGAAACGTTTAGGAGGTTGTTTAGATTAAAAAGTTAAAGTGTTTGTTAACGCTAAAGGTGTGGCCACTGTGTCATATGAAATGACTATTTGTATATAGTGCACGGTTACCGAAATGTAAATCCTAGTGCCGGATTAGACCAGAGACAAAAATAGCATCCGGAACTGAATGCTAAAAAAACTATCAATTCTACATAGTATTTCTGCTCTTGCTCTAAAACTATAGAATAATGTTCTACTTCTATGAACATCTTGCTTAAAATTAGCTAATTTGGTCAAAGATCACCATCAATTAGTTTTATTATTTTAACACAGTAATGTGTTATATATGTGATATTAATATTAATGTGCATTTTGTAACAGTTATGGCCCTGCACTAGCTTAGTCCGGCCATGGAAATGAACAGAACTCTTAACAATATTCTACCGGTAAACACACCCTTTCAAACGACACCATGCTAACTTCAGAAATCGCTCGTGTAAGACTTTGACAGTTCGAATGTGTTAAAACCAATGACACCAGACTCTGATACAAACATTACTGTTAAATGGGAACCATTGTTTCGCTTTTTATTTTCTCATTCAGTGATAGATTTTTCATATAAACTAAAAGTGCCACAATATCAAGAACGCTAATATTGCGCAATTTTAAAATAGGTGAACATCGAACCCGATCATAAATTGTGATACTATTCATGAGGACGAATAGATTTTGATATTTTGTTTCGTTTATTTCTATTTTTGTATTCTTTTGTTTTGTTCAACCATTAACAAATGATAAAATGCATGTATACCTATGCGCAACTGATTCGGTGACATGTCTGTTGTGTAAAACCATTTCCAAAGATTTTAACGTTGCTTCCGATTTATGTCGTATTTACGGCTCTCTAATCCATTGTGTTTTCTATTTGAAAATCTCATTGTCAAATAACTTTAGAGTTTGCTAGTAGAAAATACGACACGATTCGAACGCAGGATACTATACCCATGATTATTTACATATGTTATCTATATTTATATCATCATTATATATATTTATATATATGTATGCGTTATGTGCTTAAGTATATCTACCAAATAAATATATATTGTATTATATGAAGCGACTTGGAATGCAATGGGGTTTTACTTGGTTTTGAGAGTAACATACTATAATTTTATTTTAAGGCCAAGTGTGTAATGCGTGGGTGGTAGGGGTATCGTGAAATTTGGGGCCCGCCTACTCTTCTTCGAATTCCAACAGCCCGTGGATCTTTTATGCGCACTACCAATTTGAACACAGGACGTTGTGTTTTTTGTTCTGTACGAACGGGCTACAAACACTTTCGCTGTGAGCTGTGTAGGCACCATACATGACAAGTGAGAACCAAGCTTGAAAAATCCCTAATATTATTCTCGGTTCCAGTGGCGGCGCCACCACTCGTGGTCGACGAAGTGGGTGGGGGCTCCCCCAGAAAACTTGTAAAAAATAGACTGCCGGAAATGCAGTCTGACAGTATTTCAGGCACCGATCGTCGAGATAATTGGAGAGAGAGAGAGAGAGACAGACAGACAGACAGACATAGACATGGGATTCAACGTTCACTCGACACAAACTAGGTCGTTTCGGAACTAACACATGGTTACATTTTATTTCAATAATTCGCTTGCGCGTAGGGGTCTTTAGAAGTGGGAGGAAACCGGAGGACCCGGAGAAAACCCACGAGGTTGGACAGGCGATCCTACTCCTTGTCACGTACAACCAGGGAATCGAAACCACGCCAGTTGAGTCAATGGCAGACTTTATGATACAGCGCGCACGTGCTAACCATTCGGCCATCCGCCCCACCCCCGCCCCCGGGATAATTCTGTCGCTTAATCAATAGTTTATCCGGCTAGAGAGGAAAGTGTCAAACGAATGGACTTGAGGGAGCTTCTCCTTGCCAGCGTGAAAGGCACGAAGCTCATCGGTGTTTGAGGATCGTAAAAAGCACTTCTTAAGTTGTTCCCGTTTTTTATAGTAGATTTACAGCAGGATGGGTCTGCTAAGAAATCATGCTCATACTAGGATTCGAACCGGGGCATTCTAATTATACCGACAACACAGCCACCACCACAACCTATTACATAACGGATGGCCGAAGTTTGAGACATAATTTATACCCAGCAGTCAAGTTCTCATATTTAACTGCTTTAAGTTTATCTTGCCAACAACCTGTGCATACTTCCTGTTTATATAAGGTGTTGTCCCTAAAAGCTAGAATATAAGTTTCTATTCAGGTCGATTGATACATTACCGAAATAGTTGATATTTACCTTCTCTTTTCACTCATTGGCGCATAGCTGACAATTATATGGATTTTTTAAATCATTTACTAAAGGCTTGTATTATAGAGGTAAAGTATATTATCACGGGTTTGTAATATCTTGGAAAGTTATCCAGAGAGAGACAGAGAGAGAGAGGGGGGGGGGGGGGGCGAGGAGTAACGTCCACTCGTCACTAGCGCGTAAGGGGTCTTTAGCACATAATATAATATAATACCATTACAAACTATTTAGAAACTCGTATTATATTGTAAGTAGATTAGGCCTATGTAGAAGAACTAGATACTAAAAAAATGACCAAAACAGAACCCCGCTGTAATTATATGTCTATATGGACCATATGTAATTTATAAGGTCAGGGAGTCACATCAGATGAACTATACGCGATATCTCTAACAGATACCCGTCTTAATTATCCCAGTATAGGTACAGAAAAGTAGGACATTAAACCCCATTCATTCATTCATTCTCTTAACAGATAACCCGAAGATGGATTTAACTAAAATCTGGACCGTGATCAAAGTAGTAAAATGCCATATCTCTAACAGATTAAGTGGAGATGGATTTAACTTAAATCGAGACTGTGATCAAATTAGCAAAGCGCCATATCTCTAACAGATTACTTGGAGATGGAGTCTACTAAAATTTGAACTGTGATCACGGTAGGAAAACTTGCATAAATATTTAAATTATTTAAATTTGTGCAACTCGAATCTGTATAATACTGTAAAATTAAACACCTGTATGTGTAAAACGATCACAGGATATAAAATTTAAACGACCTTGACCTGCACCTATAGCTACTTCCTGGTATTGACTCAGGTTGGCCTACTTCCCTTTATTTTAGGTATGTTAACCTCCTGATATTGATCAAACTTACTTTTTAATTTAGGCTACATTTCGATAAGTATTCTCTTAACGTCCCCACGCTGGAATTGCAAGGATTATCTTTAATCAACATTGAAAGGACAAATTGCGGTTTAAGTTCAGTTTCCTGAAAAAAAAAGTTCGCATAAGTATAAAGAAAAATCCTGTTGAGCCGTTTGGAATTGATGGACAAAACAGTTTATTGAGGTTGCGTAAACTCTTTTATTTTATATTGTTTGTAAACTTTACCCACACTTTTATTCACTGAAATATATCTGTTATTGTGAACTCTTTTAAACTCATTTATTAAACCCACGTCCATCGGAAAGAAATCCATATGGCCCGGTAGGGGTGGATGGGTGTGTGTGTGTGTGTGTGTTTGAGGGGGGGGGGGCGTCAGCTTAGCGAACCAAAATGCGCTAGCCTACTGGGAGGCTTGTTCCCGGAACAATTATTAAACTAATTAATACCTACCCGTCCAGAACCCCCATAGCCTGTTTCCAATAATTTATGTTACTCAGGACAGCATGTCCTGCCATAAGGTACATCGACCTCCATTACGATTTTTTATATTAATTAGCAGTGACTGTGAAACCCCATGTATTTTTCTTGGAGAGTATATTTAGGCTACTCGGTGTAGCGAGTTTATGACACTTTTTCTAATGTCATTCCAAAATATGTAGTAAATCCCCGAGCTATATTTTCTCTTTAACTGTTAGTGTTTTACAAAACAATATTTCCGTGGATAACATATATTAAAAATAATTCCGCTTCCTAATGTGATTTCATTTTAATCTATACTTATTAAGCCTCCGGCCAAGGCCGGGTATTTTTATTAATTAATTAAATCATGTATTTTTCTGTCATCGGTTGAAAACATTATGGAGTTACAAATTTTACATCACTTTAAGGGTTAATCCCAGATTTCACAGGACGCTGTAAATAAATGAAATGAACTGGGGTTTAACTTTCTATTTTTCTGCACCGACTGGGCTCTTGAAGATGTGTATACAGCTTACAGTGTACATGGGAGAAATTTTGCCCAGACAGCGGCACTACAGCCTACTCGTATGTCGAATTCCAACCGTCAAGAGTTCGTTTACGTCCACACCAATGTGTACATTGTATTGTATTACACAACACAACAGCGTGCAAACACGCCCTCACAGCAGCTGTCTCGACAAAAAGATACCCATAGACACCAGCTTATCTGAAAGGAAAACTTGGATGTTGACCAAATTCGACAAGGATCCTTAATTTCCATCGTATTCACAAGCTTTCCGGACACGTGAGTCCTAGAATGCTGAAAATCAACAGTGTTCTGCCTCTCCGATACCAGTGTTTGACACCAAGTTTGAAATCTATAGGATTCATCCTCTCACAGTCCTAATGCTTCACACCAAATTAAAAAAAAAAATCCAATAAAAACTGTAGCCTCAATCGCGTAAACAATGTTTTCGGAAAGGGTGGGTGGGAAACTTTGAGAGAGATGGGGTTTAATGTCCACTCAATACAGAGGTAATTACGGGACTTACATACGGTACAGTTGTATTGCTTGCGCCGGGGGACCTTTTATCAGTGAGGGGCAGGGACCTTGTGATGGTCATTTTAGGTTGAGTACGGCCTAGACATTGTGGCGCAAAAATACACCACGTTTCCTTCGCATCCACTCTTTCGGATCAAACTTTGAAATTTGAAAGTTGAATTGAAAATGAATGATATGGAAAAAGAGAAGGATTGTTCCATTAAACGTTCAAACACGTAAGTAAAAATTTTTTCTAGAGTGACCTTCACCCCAACCAACAATCAAACAAACTTGAATTTCGTCCACTTGAAAAATGAAAGTGGTGTTACTTTTTATTTGAGTATGAAGAATTGTTTTTTGCTTTGCAAAAAAATCCAATCTTGATTTCAGGAGACAAGGTGATGGCAAAAATGGCGCAAAAGTCACTGTGGTAGTGGCGCATGAGTATTGTTACCCGCTTACTCATTATCACCAGGCATTGGTGGGAGAAAACTGGAGAGAGAGAGAGAGAGAGAGAGAGAAATGGGGTTTAACGTCCACTCGACACAAACTAGGTCATTTCGGGACTAACACATGGGTCTTTAGCAGTGGGAGGAAACCGGAGGACCCGGAGAAAACCCACGAGGTTGGACAGGCGACCCTACTCCTTGCCACGTACAACCGGGGATTTGAAACCACGCCAGTTGACTCAATGACAGACTTTATGGTACAGCGCGCACGTGCTAACCATTCAGCCACCCAACCCCCCGAGAAAACTGGAATACCCGGACAAAAACCAATGAGGTTAGGCATGCGACCCTACTAGTGTGGGATCAAAACCACGCCACTTGACTCAAATGACAAACCCTATGATCTAAAGCGCAGCTAGTAGATTTCTAGCAACCGACACAGTGTTTGAAATCTTTCTCTGACAACTGTCTACGCCCCTCCCCAGATACTACTCAGGTATACGCCACTCTAAGGTATGCCAAAATTAAAAAATAATCTTCTATACACCCCCCCCCACCCGACACTACACCTCATGTTTCATATTCCCTTTAAAAATGGCCTGAGCAACACGCTTCTTTTCTGGACTACAGCCACATCAAAACTGGAAAAGAAGCTTTTTGTAAAAGACCAACTGAGAGAAATTTTCGCAGTCATTTATCTTATTATTTAATAGAGTTTTATTTTCCTGGTAATAAAAACTCAATTGACACATTAAGTAAGACCAATGAATTAATAACCTAAAACATTTTCAAAACATTAAACATTGTAAATTTGATAAAAAAAAAACAACAGCAACGAAAAAAAACCTAAACATTCGAAGCATTCGTCAGAAAAAACAACATATCAAGAAAAGGAAACGTTTGTTAAAAATAATTATGACAGTAGTTTCTAAATCTCTAGTGCTTTTGAATTG